CGTTTTGAATGATTTTTGTCAAACGACCAAAAGCGAAAGATGGTTTTCAAGGTGTTTTTGTTGGAGAACCGTTTAAACATGCCAAAGAGTGAAAACCAATCATAAAAAGTTGAAAACCACTTGGTTGGTTCGGACCCCAAAAACCATAGCCGATAACCGAGAGCCGAACGCCGGTTTCTGAAACCCGAACGCCGGATGGTTTGGTTTTTGGTTTGGGCGAACACCAAGTGTTTTTGATGATTTAAACTTGTTTGAAAAACATTTTTATGATTTAAGAAATGCAATGAAGGGTTTTAGCCTAAAGAGCCAAGGTGTAAAGGTTGGGTCGGTCTTGATCACAATGAAGACCGACTCAACGACACTAAGACTAAGTTCTTCGTTCTTGGTCTTCTTTTAGCTCTTGTTCTTGTCTTCCTTCTTCGCCTTGTATATTCAAAGTTTGACTTGATCACGGCGGTTTGGCATTATCAAAACCTGTCACAAAAACAAACACGGCTTTAGTACGAAAACGTGACATGCCCGTGTTTCAACAATTTCCCCCTTTTTGATAAAGGCAAACGAGATGAGGTTATGCATATGAGGAAGACTTAGAGACTTAAAAAAATGTTCCCCCTTAATAGATACCATTTTATTTTAAAAGATTCCCCCTCAATTTATTGCATAACCTTGATATCTTCCCCCTTTTGACATTAACAAAAAGAATTAAAGTAAACTTTAGAATTTAAAAGTGAACTTTTATTCATTAAAAAGGAGAAAATGCGGAATACAACGGAATGGAAATAATTAAAAAAAAAGACAATCATAGTAAGGAAGGAAAAGAAAGAAGAGTCTAGGCAGCGGCGTCCTCGTCCTCGGCGTCATCGTCTTCTTCGTCGTCCTCAACGTCCATGGGATCCCCGTCGACCGCGTCCTCAAAATCGGCCTCGTCGGGGGAGGAGGACGAAGCATAGGAGGCATCTTCCTCGTCCTTGCCTTCATAGTTTTGGCCGAGGAAGGTGCTGTCAAAGGGCGGCGGGACGTAGTTGATGCCGCGGAAGTACGCCGTCATGTCGTGGTTTTGGCGTTGCAGCGTCCAGTCCATCCTCTCCAGGTATTGGCCCATGCCATCCACGGTGATGGTTAGCCGATTCAGGGTATCGGCTATGGACTGTAAGGACGCCTTGGCGGGA